GTCGTCGTGGAGCCGACCGTCAAGCAAGCCGAGAAGATGGGATGCAACGCGCCTGCCTGTGATCCCAGCTAAGCCGTTGCTCCTCGGGCTCCCTCATACGTGTATACGGAGTATACGGAGTAACTAATCCGCGAGGTTAGTTAGACAGCTGGCTGAGCAGCCATTTTCGCCCTCGGCCCAGCCACATGCTGCATCTCCATCGTTGATTAACTAGTTATTATTAACTACGGAAGACATGTCCCCAAGCACGCTGTCCCTTCCAGAACATCATCAGGCAACATCTGATTAAAATGATATACAAAAGAAACCAAGATGGCTCTTCAGTCGAGTTCGCTCTTCTCCTTAATCACTTCTCAAATTTGACCCCTTAAAGAGGAGGATTATGATGATGACTCAGCAATTGGCGCACGTGATTATATCAATAAATGGCTAACCTAAAATAGTCTAGCTCCTGCTTACACATCACTGACCCTGTCGTTGCGTATGTAAGCAAGTCACTAGGCTTAAAGAGGCTAGCCGGTAACCTTTCTCGCCGCCAAAGTTGCTCCTTCAGTTTCATCTACTGTTGATTAGTTTTCATCTACTTGCAAAGTCGCTGAGCAACGACAGGATGCACTTGGAATGCCTCGAATATCCAAGTCCAAGGCTGGGTGAGACGTCTCGGGATTGTACGCTGCTTCACCTTTTCCTCGGACGACCCTGCAATCCAGATGTCTCCGATGAAGAACGGCGATCTTCATGCATCGACGGCTTACACATATGGTACATGAATCCATGAATGTCGCGTCACATCATTGCTGATATCCCCCTTGGCTAACTTATTACTGGCCTATCCGTTAAGCTCAGTGATTCTGGCGAATCAGCGGTGTCTCTCGGTTGAGACCCGAACGGCTCCGACGGCCTTGGTTTTTCAGTCATGAAATGATATTGGGCAATTTAGCGCCGTCATGTTTGTTGGAGATCGAGACTGGCCAAGGTTGCAAGGTTGGAGGACGTGTACACTCGGCCGCGGCGAGACAGTCTCCGCTCAACGACCAGCACCTGGCTTGGCCAGGTCATTGAGAAATGCTGGACCCAAGGAATTACGTCCGCCGAAGACCTCGCTGCGAAGCCGGACAAGGAGAAGGGCAGCGAACTCATGGTATCCTTCTATGTCTCCATACAAGTATCCATGCATAACCCTAAGGGCCCAAGAAGGCTGACTCGCAGACAATGCCTGAGCATGTGGCATCCTGATCCTTCGATACCTCTACTCTATCTCCTGCTTGCTCACCCAAGGCGTGAGCGAAGACCTTATGTAGCAACGGCATGACTTAAGCAAAGGCCCAGGCTTCAACTACTATGACAAGCTACCAATCATGCTGTTCTCTATGAGCTTGCTAGGATTAACTAATAAACTTGCTACGACTGCAGAGTACGGTGGAAAGGTACGAGTTAAGTGGTCAACCCGTGGAGAACATCAACAAAATAAATAAAATGAAATAAAAAGTGGTAGACACTCTCTACCCTGCCCCATGTCCTACTGTCTTGCAGGTTTGCGCCGTCTATGGCGTTGTTGGCTTCATACGCGAGTAGGTCCAGTCGACGAGTTTCAATTTGCATTCCACTGGAGCCAGTTACGAATCAGGGCCATCCCTTTGACATACACGCGAGAGAAAGACGAAGCGTTGACACAACTCGCTGTCGCAGCCCTGGAGATGATCCTCTTAAGCATAACACATAACACCATCGCGTAGCCAATATCAATTATTATCAATATCAACATGAAGATATGTCATGATAGCCAGAGTCAGCGTAAGTTCGCCTCGTGGCTTGGCAAGGGCTTTTTTGTTTCCCCTCCAAAAATTTACAGTTTTTTTTTTTTTTTTTTTTTTCCCTCCCTCCCTCTTTGCCCATCGCGGGGGATTTTCAATTTTTGCTCTTCTTCTTCTTCTCTCTTCAGCTTCAGCGTCACCCTCGACTTCAACGCCTGCTTCGATTCCAGCTTCTTTGCGCCAGCAACTCCTCGACCCTTCTCAACCAGCCCTCCGTCGTCTTCTCCGCCATCATGATTATCTTCAAGGTAAGCGACCCCGCGGTCTCTCTAGGCGCAGAGTGGGATCTGACACAGGACAGGATATCATCACCGATGACGAGCTCATCTCGGACGCCTACAAGATGCAAGACAAGGGCGTCATCTACGAGGTCGACGCAAAGCGAGTCACCAAGGGCGCTGACAACATCCGTACGGCTCCCTTATTCACCTCCTTCGCTTTGTGTTTAGGTGTGGTGGCTAACCGGGGAGTAACACTTGTTCATAGAGCTCGAGGGAGCCAACCCTTCCGCCGAAGAGGCCGACGAAGGCACGGAGGATACTAGCACGACCGTCATCGACGTCGCCGACTCCTTCAGACTCAGCCCCGTTGAATTCGACAAGAAGGCCTACACCTCTGCCGTCAAAAGTACCTCTCC